ATTAACACGGTTAAACTGTCTACTGAGTTTTTATAGTTACACTTCTATAGGCACGTTCTGCCCTACGAAGTAAATCATTGATTTTAGATTAGTGACCTTGAGAGAAAGTGTAACGGAAGTCAATTTGTTTTGAAACCATCGGAAGATTCGATGAAAAAGCACAGTCTTGTACTGGCCAGCTCCATATTGCTTATATTGAACTGTGCCGTAAAACGTTGTTTATAATTGTTCTGTTATTAGGTATTAAAATATTTATTGAAAACACACCCAAATAAGGTAGATATAATCGTTCCAACGATAATTGCACCACCTTTGTACATAATATCATTCACAAGGCTTGGGATTATCATTCAGAGAGACAAAGAACGGGAGGTTCCTCTGGTCTACACAGACGCACCTACTACCTTTCAAATCGCGCACCTCCATTTGCATTCTACAAACTTCACACCATAATGCTAGAATTTATTATAGTTTTGAAAAATGCCTGGCAAGGCTTGATTGTATTCGTCAAGCATCTCTTTTTTGTACTAAGGTATCTATAAATTTTTTTTTTTTCCTGACACATTAATAATACACCCTCATTTCACTTAAAATTGACCCAGTATCAGCAATGGCTTAGTAGTAAGTGTCCTTGTTATGGATACAGCGTTGTTCTAGGGGGCTCGCGAGTTTGATTCTCTGGAGGTGTAGATTTTTTCAAAAACTGTTATCACGACAAAAAGTTTCTATGCTACCCTGGCTGTTTCGGGGCGGATTCTTCTATGGAATTTGTCTTTGGAGTAATTCTAGAGTTTTTTTCTGCCCCACAGATCTTCGGGCCTGGGTGAATAAGAAACGGTGTTAGGGCTATAGCTAGGTATTAGCTACAGAAGCGCCTATGCGCCACACTCTCAAAAGCGAGAGTGCGTTCCGTTTTAGCTCTATGGAACTTACTCCAATAAAAACTGTCCTCTCTGATTTTATTGTTTACAACAAACTTCTATACTTATCTACTTAATATAAACTTTTTTTTCAATGAACAAAGTATTGGTGGTCTTTTTTACAATTAAACTAAACCTAATGAAACTGCTTTTTCTGACAATCTATAATTAAACCTTTTTTTTTTTTTAACTATGTGACGTACCAAGTTCATACTGGAATCTTACTTATAAAAGACATCAAGCAAACTATAGTGTAAATTTCTTTGTACTTATTCTTTAAGTTGACTATGCAGAATTTTAAACAACTCATCAACACTTGATCTTTCTGAGTCAATGTAAGAAAAACATTCAGATAGTTTTTGAGAAACGTAATCTGGCGTTCCTGCTAAGAGTGGCTTAGTGCTTTTAGCAAAAACTCTTATGAGTGTCATAATATCTACGAAACCATGGTCAAACCACATCTCTCTTCCACTATACATTTCTAGCAGAGTACATCCTAGCGACCAAATATCAGAGTAAACAGTGGCCCTAGCCCTGCTGATGATCATCTTGGGCGCCATGTATATTAGGGTTCCATGCAAGTCTGGGACAGTGGTTAACATATTGGAGTCAAGACTTCTACTAACTCCAAGGCCAAGATCACATACTTTAACGTCACCATTTAGATTGACCAAGATATTCCCTGGTTTTATGACTCTGTGTATTATGGGCTTGGGTTGAGTATGCAAATAAGAAAGTGCAGAATATATCTGTACAGATATTTTGTTCTTTTTTAAGTCATTTAAATCAAATATTTCTTTCCCACTTCTTTTGAATAACACATCATGTAAGCAATAAGAATCAAAAAGTTCCATGACAAGATGGTATTGTGTGTCTGTCTTACTACTCCAAAAATGTTTATGATGTTTGAATTTCTAATATAATGTAAAAGTTAAATTTCTTTTACAATCAATTTATTATTAGAACTACGCACTATTGTTTTGATTGCAACTGCGTTGAACATATATGTCCCTTGTCTCACAATACCTTGAGCTCCACTACCTAACTCTCTACCAAAATTTATTTCGCTTCTTGGTATCATTTGAACAGACAAGTTATTTAATTAAATATTCTCCTTTTAAATATGACGTGGCAGCTGATTCTTAAATATATTTGTTTATAACTGTCCATTTTTATCCTTACCAGAGTCTATTTTCAAAATTTTGGAGTTGTGACTATCAATGCTTGTATCAGATGTTTTACTTCTCTTTATACTTTCAGTTCTGACAGGTGATGGAAGCATGGATGGAGAATGATTCGAGTGATCTTCATGAGTGAATTACGAGATTGGGTACTTCGATGACTGCTACCTACAAAAGATAGTTTGCATTCCGAGGAAGCTTTGAAGTCAGTATCCTTGACTTTCAATTCTTCGCTCGCACAAATTTTGTTTAGAGGCTCCAGTTCTGTAGATAACAAATACAATTTCAGATCATGGTTTTTGTTCCTCAATTTCAATTTACTGAATTTCCAAAAGTTCAAGGTCTTATTATTAAATTTCTGTTCCTTTATGGCTTCCCCTTTAGTAGTGCCTATATCGACCACTGACTTATCAAAGAAATGTTAATTTTTATCATCGACGTATTCCAACATCATCTCAAATTTTACATCATCGAAGGAATAATTTTTGTTACCGTCCAAAGTGTCTTCTTTTTTGGACCGATTGCTGGTCTCATACTCAGAAAAGGCATGTTTTCCCCCTCACGATGCTTCCATTCTATTTAAATAACTCTTTTCAGTACAGTTTTGACTACATTTTCAGTTTTTTTATTCGATTCTTGATTTGTATTAGCCAGTTTCTTACTGCAATGCTGAAAAAAGAAAGAAAAAAAATGTAGTAATAATTTTATTCACTATTTTTAGATAGGTACTGGCACCATTACGTTTAAGTTATTTTTGCTTGAAGTTGATTCGTACAATCTGTCTAAATAATCTTGAAATCTTTTTCTTTTGGTATTTTTCTCATTGCTAACATCTGTAATTAAACAGTTTTTATGAATGTTAATAATAAATAAGTCTTAAGTATAAAAATATTGTATTTGTACCTTTTTCTACACTAAGATGATGCACATAAATGTGAGCCTCTAAATATATGTTCTCACTGTCAGTTTTTAACATAAATTCTTCACCATCTTGTGTATACGTTAGTGACCCACCATTTGGAAAGTAATCTTTGATTGTTTGTTTTTTTAAAAGATTATTCGACACAAAACTACTTCTTACCACACTACAGTGTTCAATCTGAATTTTTTGCAAAAGTTCATATGCACTCCTGATATGACCATATGTGACATACATTTTTTTGACAGGATTCTGCATTTCAAACTTCTCTCCCTTACCTCCTTAACGAGACAGTTTTTAGGAATATATATGCGAAGATTAAAATATAACGTTGTTAGGTATTAGAGCATGTTTTTTTTTATGTCTTACTATACTCAAAACAATATCAATGTATAAAAATATGTTTTTCGTATTAAATCAGTTAGGAAGGAAGAAAATAATTTTTTTCAGTGCTGCATAAAATATCTGTGATGTTTAAATAAGAGTTAATTGTTTAAACTGACTTCCTTATCTAACAACGTCTTTATACGGCACAGTTGAATTACAACAAGACTTATTATTGATACAATTTTGATTCAAGAACTTGACACTATTCTTTTTACTATTATAACGAAATTTATTGTTTAACAAAATACTTTTCACTATACACAACTATGATAATGTGCCCTACTTGTGAGCAATGGTTTCTGCAGGCTGACGGCTAGTCACGAGACGGGATGACAGCACTGTTCTCGGGATGAGAGTCTTCCTGATTTTTTTGTTTTTCTTTTCCGAAATCGGCTTTCAACGTGGAGTAGTCGTATGTTACATAAGAAGTGGTCCACTTACAAAAACTAAGATAAATTGTACATCATACAATGAAATGGAATATTTTTTGTAGAAAATCTTTAAAAAAATGTAAGTTTTGAACAATTTATCCAGTTTGGCTAGTTATTGAAGTGAGACCTTTAACCCTTTTTTTTCGACAGCTGTTTGTATTAGAATATTTCATTATTAAATAATTAATTCTTGTTTAAATTTGACAATGTAAATCCTTACCTTTGCTTCTTATAAAATATATTCACAGTTTTCAAAAGATACATTCTAAAAAATTTCTCGTTTTTTACAAAATAATAATCGTTTTTTTTTTCTTTTCATCAGCTAATGAAGTACCTGTACCAATGAAATGTAACATAAATTATTATATAGCTAAAAAGCAAGGTATGTCCAATAACTTTCGATGTTAAATGGAACGTTGATTCAAAAAAAATTTTTTCTGAGAAACCACACCATGGAAAATTTCCTTAAAAATTTAACATGGTGTCTTTTACTACTACCATATTTTGCTTCAAGGTAAATTTACATGTTACAATCATAAATTTTTTTAAGTAATAAATTGTGCAATTTTAATTTTTTTGCACCTATAACACTCCTTTTTAAGAGCTATTTTCCAATCTTATTTACAATTTTGAAGTGTTAAGTCATAGTCTTTCAAAGATATCATTCTAGAAGTTTGACTTTTTTTAGAAAAAAGTAATAAACAAAGCCTTTGTTTGAGAGTAGTTGTAACTTATATTTTAAAAAATTTTTCTTTTACTTTGCAATAAAAACGGTATACATAATAGTATATTTTTTCGAATTTTAGTTACAGTTTAAAAAGCCTATTTTTATGGTACTGGAATACAGCGTAGACTCCACAAACACATGTTATCGATATTTTATCTTGAACATAGGGTAGGTGCAAACTAATAAGTTTTTGATAACTCTGTACTTGATGTTTTGAGGTGTAATTGAGTATCATGTTGTAGACGAATGCTGCATATGTATAAGATTCTCTTAATTAATAAAGAATAACCTATTATATATATATTTATTTATATGATGTTAATATATGTTAATATATTAACTGTAGCTACAATTTTGATGTTTACTAATTACGCTCACGCACGATTCCTCTTGTTATCATAAAATTACTAAGTAAGATATCAACATATTTTTCAGTTTGAGAGAATTCTTGCCACAATCGTACTTCAAGGTTAAAGGAATAGAAAGAAAAGTTTTTGTTGAATACAAGAAGCATAATGGATTATCAGAAGTAGATGCTAAAGTATTGTATACTAAAACTGCAAGATCCTTAAATACGTATGGAGTAACCTTTTTTCTTGTAAAAGAAAAGATGAAAGGAAAGAACAAATTGGTACCTCGGCTTTTAGGTGTAACGAAAGATTCGGTACTAAGACTTGACGAAAAAACTAAAGAGATCTTAAAAACGTGGCCCTTAACAACTGTAAGAAGATGGGGAGCATCTCCAAATACATTTACCCTGGATTTTGGAGACTATTCTGACCAATATTATAGTGTTCAGACAACTGAAGCTGAACAAATCTTACAAATTATATCTGGCTACATTGATATAATTTTAAGAAAACAAAAAGCTAAAGATCATTTTGGCATCGAAGGAAATGAAGGTTCAACTATGGTGGAAGACAGTATATCTCCTTTAAAGTAAGTACAACATTCAAGCTTTACGTTTACTCATAGTTTTCCAAACGTCACTTTTTTACATCATGCATTAATTTGCGTATTAAAATTATACGATTGTACGTAGTTGTCTTCTACGTACAATCGTAAAATTACACAAGTGTACGTAGAATTACACTACCTTCAACTTTTTTAACAATCCATAACAACCTTGAACAAACTACAATAATCTCATTTCAAAACAAAAAAAAAAGCCCTGGCTTCAGCGCACATATGTTCTTATATGGACCAGAAAAGACGGAGACAATCAAATAAACAAAGTTTACTCAGACTCGCAGCACCATCTTAAACTATACAAATATTGAAATTAGTACCAAACACCAAATAAAAAGACGTTACCCCTCATTATAAGTGCTATGTTAGGGTAGTGATAATAAAATTAAAAAAAAAGAATAATCTAAATGAAACTTTTGATTTTCTATTTTACAATGTTATAAAGTTGTGTGAAACTAAATCTTCATTCATTTTCTCCTTGTTCCTCCTCAGCTTAAATAACATAGTTTCGTCTACTATTATACAGTTGTATGCTACTAAGTCGTCATAAACCTCCTCCTCACTTGTCCTTAGCTTCTGTTTGAATGACATGGTTTTTATGTAGGTTTTCAGTGATTTTTATCTATGTCAAATAGATTATTCCTTCTCCTTGCTCCTCGCTTCTTTTAACTACTTTTTACTGTTTCTTAGCATCTTTTCAGCTTCCTCTCAGCTCTTTCTCAAATTCTCCTTAGCTCTTCTTCAGCTCCTACTCAAACAAGATATTTTTTTATACATGTATATATATATATAAATTTTCTCACACTGTAGAGTTTGTTCATGGAAATAGTTTCCACATTATTTAAAAATTGAAAAGCAATAATATTTAAAATAAACTCCATGACTCAAATGTGTTTTTGATGAGCCTCAGACTGTACGTATATTAAATTAATTCTTACATATTACAAAATTTGTTTAAAGAGCTTACCCTCCTTATTAGTACTTCCTCAGCTTTTTCTTACTTTACGGGAATCAAAATATAAAGGGTTTTATAAATAGTAAATATTTGCACAAAAAAATACAGATGCAAGTATATTATTTTAACTGCAACGTTAAACGTTAAAAGATAGTTTGCTAACAAACAGTTGAAAAAATAAAGAATAAGTTAACGTTCAATCATCTGTCATCTCATTTTTCTCTTTAAGCTGAAAAATGATGAAGTTTAGTGGCAATACTTATTTTCCAATAAAAACTTTTTTTTTTAGTTTAGCTTATTAACTGGATCTTCAAAAGTATATAATTGTTTAAGAAGAAAATTCTCATTTTCTTTGGAATATTCATTATTGATTATCTATCATTTATATTTATTAAAAAAATTCAACTCTTTTTACAGTTAATTTGTCTACGAAGACCGTAAAATCGGTTCAAGTAATAACTTATCACTGTTACTAAAAAATTGTACAGTGTATTGCTAATAATTTCATAACAAATATCAATTCAGATACTCAAACTAAGGTGTTCACATTTACAGCACACGAAATTCAAGGATAGGATAATAGGATATCAGTACATTTAAAACATTCAAATTTTCCTGCATATTTAAAATTTGCCGCTGAGTAAGTATCCTGCCTTAGCAACGCCACGTCTTGTTTGTGTTTGTTTAACGGCTGTTGGTACAAGCGTTCACGTACGATTTTGATTCACTACATATATTTGATAATTTTAATTGTTACTTATTTATGGAACGATTTTACTTTGAGGGAGTCATTCACCCACGCCCCTCTTCTAAGGCATCATTATCCTTAAGTATTATCTTCAAATCTGTATGTCACGGTAAAAAAAATTATAAGAATTGCTTTCTTATTGAATATCTTAATGATAAGGTATATTAAAAATACCACAGAGTTACCAGAAAGAAAGTGACAGTACGGAGTCTTGAATCTACAACCTTTAAGCGAGGAGCAAGCGCTCTACCACTGACCAAGAGATTTCAACGCTGCAAGCTATCTGCTGGAGTTTAAAAAATAGCTGTAGCCAACATCAGACGCCATTTGCAGCACTGCTTTATTTTTAAAACACACCTATCAATTGTAAGTTCTAGAAAAATTAAGGTTGCAGATAACTTAACGATAAGACCACATTTTTTTAAGGTTGAGCCAGAAGAAATCCAAAAAATTAATTTAAGTATTATAGCTTACACAGGTCTCATTTTTGGTATTTTTATGAGTTTCTGGCATGATTTTGTCAGTAAAACTGTAAAATTGAAATAAAAAAACTAAGGTAATTGACAGTACATTGTGCGTACCAGGAAAAATACTTATTTTTCAATATTTCAAAATTCGAGTATGCAAATCTAGAGTACACAGTAGCACGGTCGCTGAGGTTTCGCCTGCTTTTTTAAACTGACCTCGTTGCACTTTCATGCGATTTAATATTGTTGAACCACTTCAGTAGCATCTTTAAAGTGAATATAAGTGTATACTTGGTGATTATGTTGCGTGTAAAAGCGTGGATTTTAAGCAAATGTAAGACTTGCTTCGATGATGAAGCTGAGTGAAAAAAAGCCTGAAAAATTCAGGCCACTGTAGACTTTCGTAAAAAGTGAGACAAATGGAAACGAAAAAACGAAGAACCGTCAATTTGAGTTCCAACGATAATAGTAGTACACAGTGCGGCCGATTGCCAAAAATCCGACCAAAGTTCGAAAATTTGAGTAAATCACTTCAAAACTAGCTTAAGGTGTTTGAGGTCACTTATAAGAATTTTATGTCAAATGTACAAAAATTCACCCCCTTCATCCCTTATCAACCACCCCCTAGGGTGAATTTTCGTATATTATTGAGCATAGTCAAGTTACATATCGTTTTCGAAGTTTCTTGGGTCCCTGATAAAAAATTTTATGTCAAACGTACGGAATTCGGAATGGTTAGTACTATATGCCATCACCCAAGACATTTGAAACCTCAAGTGAGACCACCCTCCATAACTCAGGGCTTTCAACTCAAATTAATTAAATGGAAAACAATTTTGATATTATCACAAAAAATTTTATGACAATTAAAAAGTATACACAATACGTGTTGTATTATATTACACAATTTTTCTTTAGTTCTATTTCTTGCATCCCATCTTGCTCTCATCTTACTCACCAAATCTGTTTTTTGCCGTTTCTCATCCTCTGATAAATAATAAGCTGCCTTTTGGTTTTAGGACAAAAATTTTTTGATTCTTTCATAAATTACTTTGATGTCAGCCTTCAAAATATTCTTTGTTATTTAAAATAGCTGCAACCTTGATTAATTGTTAGCAGTTGACGGTTGTTGCATTACGTTGCAGTATTTAACAAAATGCCCATTGAATATAAACTCAGATCAGACAGAAAAACAGAAAAAAATCTTACTGCATGATGAGTATTTTTTACGTAACATTTGTATACTCTTAGAGTAATTAAACTAAGAAAACATATTAAATATAAAGTTTAAAATCATCCACGCACCCATTATCGCATACACCCAAGCAAATCAATAATGTACAGAGAGTAACCTTCCTGCATAGGTAGATCCCTATTCACTGTGTAGGCCCCTTCTCCCTCTTTTTCAATCTTATTCGTGTTTTAAATGTGTAAGCTCTGAATTGATTTTTCATGATCCTATTTCTTATAATTTAGATAATGTATTGTAACTTAGTCGTCACATACTCTAGTTTATTACAGAAAAAAGTCCATTTCAACTCAAGTGACTGATAGTGGCAGCTTAATTTAATTTTCGTCGACAGCTTATACATTTCTAAGTAACTTAAAACAGATTTTAAGACAGCGTTTATCAGCGTTTTACTGTTATTTTATTTAAAAACCTAAATTTTATTTTAAAAAAATATCCTTATAATTGTATTCTTAAAAATTTTTGGTCAAAAAATTGATATTCACAAGATCTTTTACGTATTTAACTCATCTTTAAACGTAGATTCCATTTCAATTTTTTAAAGTTCCTTTACTGCCAGCATATAAACAAGTTTACAATTTTTTACGTACATCTACAACGTTATATTGCATTTATAACAATGCTGAACTCCAACTGAGAGTTAAGAAAAGACTTGGAGTATAGGACGTTTTCCTCAACGATTATATATTCTTATAAGATCTCTCTAGCCAACTTCATGCTTAGGAATGCCTATCTAAGAACTTTTATTTTTCGAGTTGCAGCCAGCTTTTTGGCACTTGGCCGCACTGTGCAGCAGCATCATTATCAACATTACCATGATTCTTCTCGTATAGGATTGAAAACATCGTTGCAATCCAACTTGTATGATCTTGAGACTGTAAGCACGCAACCAGTGGCAACACAATGATCATAGGAGTAAGTAAAGTGAAGTTTAACTCAAACTTGTGTGAATGTTTTAAATGTAAACTTAGATATTTTTAACGTATGAATTAAATACACAGCAGAAATAAAAAATCCAACGTATAGAAAAAAACCTTGAAAGGACGCGGAATACAAAGGCAATTAGAACTACGCAAGTACTGCATTTTAGACAGACATTCAGTAGGTCAATGTTAGTGTAACGTCAGAGACGCATGTTGAGATTTCAGTTAAGTTTTTTAGTGCAACGACTCAAGTTTTAGACTCATTAATAATTAAATGCTTACCAAATGCATTTAACTAAGCAGCTCCATCAACTGAGTACAAAAATAATAGATAAGTCATCATAAAGATAGAACGCACACTCCCAACAGCATTTCAAAAAAATGATAGCAACCAAGCACTGAATTTTTAACGAGAAGTGTTTCACATGATTTCAACAATATTGGAATCATATAATGACAATNAATAAATAAGTCTTAAGTATAAAAATATTGTATTTGTACCTTTTTCTACACTAAGATGATGCACATAAATGTGAGCCTCTAAATATATGTTCTCACTGTCAGTTTTTAACATAAATTCTTCACCATCTTGTGTATACGTTAGTGACCCACCATTTGGAAAGTAATC